TTTAAACTAAACCAGGGTAGGTTTAGACTGGATACAAGGAAGAAATTCTTTACAATGAGGGTGGTGAAACACTGGAACAGGTTGCCCAGAGAGGTAGTGGAGGCCCCATCCCTGGAAGCATTCAAGGCCAGGTTGGATGAGGCTCTGAGAAACCTGATCTAGTTGAAGATGTCCCTGCTGTCTGCAGGGGGGTTGGACTAGATGACCACTAGGGGTCCCTTCCAACCCAAAACATTCTATGATGCTATGATTCTATGATTCTATGCAGCCTTCCCATGCAGACACCGGGAGCATAAGTAGTACACAAAGGGAACAAACATTTCTGGTAAAAACACATCTAGAGTAACCTGTTTAAATATTCCCTTACTCAATGGAACCTAAGCGTGCCTCAGATGTGATGTCCTTGGCTTTCTGGAGAGGAAGAGGAAAGCACGCATCAGATTTATGGAGTACCTTCCGCAACAGAGTCACTAAGCCTCACCTCTCCCATGCAGAACCAGGCTGGCTGAAGGATAAATGGATTAGAAAAAAAAAGGTTTTAAAAAGAAAAAAATTTTGGGGGTGAAAAAAAAAGGAAAAAAATTGGCCACCTGGAACTTATTTCTTCTCTGCTATCTAGAAAATAATGTTTTTTAAAAAAGTAAGAAAAAACTTATTAAACAATAGTTTAGAGCATATGTGTGAGGGAGTTCACTGTGCTTCAGCCTTTAACATTTATACAGCATTTTTCTCTGGTACTTGTTTATCCTCAACCACTTGACTCTTCACCATCCCATCAGAAATCATGTTAAGAGCAAAAACAAAGTTGTCAGTATTCAGTGATGGTATTTACTAATGTTAACTTAACCCCTTCCTAAGAGAAACAAGACATACAACAAAAAAGACTGTATTTAAAAGGGACACTGCCAATTCAACACTAATAAGAAATAAGCCTATATTTTATATGCATGTTCATAAACAGAAAAAAAAAAAAGAAAAAAAATCAAATTGTCCTCCAATATGTATCTTACAATGATATCAAATAAATAATTTCTTTCTGGTGTCAAATAGCCCGTTGTCACTGACCAAAGTGAACGAGACTAAAGATAAATTCAGAGAACACAAAAAATGAGGAAAAAAAATAATTAAAAAAAATCCTTTCATTTTCAATAATCCAAGCTGTTAGCAGTAAATGAAGTAAATAATTCAGAGAAAATATACATTTTAACTCCAGTGTCCCTACACAATAGGCAGCTGGGGGAATGCCAAATTTGTCTTCCTAGGAAACACTTCCCATAACAGTACAAGATGCTATTTTAAAGGAGGATGAGAAAAAAATTCTCTTGAGCATGTTATATAAGGTTTATTTCCAAAGCTTAGCCCTGGCAAGAACAGTAGTGAGAACACAGATACAATCTTAGAAAGCATGCAATATTTTCCTGTCCTTCTAGAATTAGCTGGAAATTAGGGCAAGAGAAAGCAAGGAAAACAGAAACACCACCACCACCACCACCCCCCCTCAGTGCCTGGGAAGTGTGCAAGGGAATGGAAGAGGGGAAAAGGGTAACCTCATTTTTTCTAAACATTTTGTAATTAGTATTCATTTATTCTTAGCAGTAACTTCCTGAGGTTTATTTGCTGTTGGCGCGGGGAGAGGGGGCAATCATTCACTTAGCTGCTTCCCCGCAAGACCCACAATTAAGCAAAGAACCACTCAAAGCAAAAACGGATCTTGTCATTAACTCAAAACCTTAAACCCAATCAGATTAACTCCGTTATCACAGAAAATGGAAACACGGCACCCGGAAAGGGATGATTTTTGTTACCCGTGCCTTTTTACACGGCAGTTGGTGAATGCTTTTGTATAAGAAAGAACTGTCGGCAAAGTATAACGTGAAGGACAGATACTTGGCCGTACGTAGTTTGCTGGGTGCAGGGCTCGCTCCGCCGGCAGCGGGCGCTTACCTTCCTTCTGGCTGCCCGCAGCGCTTTGCTGCTGCAACAAGCTCTGACTGTACAACGTCGGCAGCGCGGCGGCAGCGTACTGCTGGATTCCTGAGTAGGCCTGGGTGAGCGCGTCCATCGTGCCGGCCGTGCCGTTCGTCAAGCCTGTTGCGCCGAGTCCTCCGTTCAGGGCCGCCATACCTGAGAGCATTTGAGCAACTTTACAAAAAACCCAACAATAGAGAAAAGAAATTGCACTTGTTCATTAGTGCTTTCCGAAAGTCGTTGGTATTATATGACACTGACAACGATGGCAGTGCATGCAGCTCGGCACTTCACCAAATGGGACTGAGAACAAAGAACACGACTTTGGCGTCAGGATCACTTTAGCACAAAGGTTGCACAGTCACACGGACTCGCATGCAGCCTGCTACTGGCAAGTACGATGGCTGGGGGCTCCCAAAAGCCTCTCTGCCCACCTTCCTCGACACCCATGGCGCTGCTGAGGGTATCTGAAGCTGGCAGGGTGCGACCTATTTGACCCGCATCCTTGCAAGCTGGCCGCCGGGAAAAAGCAGGCTGCGAGGGAGCCCACTCTTTCTGACCAGGATCTTTAGCAACAGGCCCTGACCACACCGTACCAGAAGCATTTTGCTTATATGGAATTAGCAGAGAACCCCCAATTAATAGCATTTTGAAGCAACCCTCTGTACAATTATGGGCTTCGTCCCTTAGGTTTGTGGTAGGAAGATGGACTGCGACGCCCTGTGCTTTCACCCTCCTCCCCCAGTTACTCCAGAAGATGACCAGCAGCATATCTAGAGTGCCTAGAAGTGCTTCATCCAGACTAGGCCTCTTTCATGAAGAAACAAAAGCATTTGGTTCTAGCAATGTCTTTCTTCTCGCTGGAGACAGGGTTGCTTAATTTTTTTTTCCTTTAAAGCCATTCTACATCCCGATAAATAACAGATTAATTTAACTGGGATGACAGCCAGAGAGGAAATTTCAGACTGGATTGCTAGCTGTGTGGAAAATGGCACCCCTCATCCGTGCAACCAGTGCAGCCTGCAAAAGAAATTTTACTGCTCTGACTGGACAAACTCCTGGGCTACAGCCTCCCTCTGTTTCTGCTATTCCTCATCACGGCTCCTAAATAAGCCACGTTGAAGTTAACAGTATTAACACTTTTTAAAAATTTTTTTCAGAAATTCCAGAAAAAGTTGCTTTTCTGTTAGAGCTACAGTCTCTTTTGCAGCTGAAGGGGTGGCAGAGTTCAGAGCCTGGCTCATCGCTCCGACTTGTGTCAACCAGAGCAGTTAGGTGCTCATTAGGACCACGTTTTCTGCGCAACTAGCTCTCCTGTGTTCCCCAGTTTTGAGGTGAACAGCTCACAAACAACTTAAAAAGGCTTAATCAGGCCCCTCGAGGTACAGCAGATCAGTCACCAGAAAAATGGGGCACCCAGAACCACCGACGACCATTTCTTAGATATTGACTGTGTAGTGTTTTGATTGGTAAAATGATGGGTGAAGAGGTGACTGCTGGAGCCATAAGAAGACCCAAAAGCTAGGAACATTGAAGAGAAAGAGAGGGCTTAATTTCAGAGCAATAATAAGGGGTTATATGTAAATTGGAGAAAAGTGAGGAAATTAAGCAGAGGACACTTTATAGTGAATTAACTATGAAATCTATTAGACTGGGAAACAATCTTCACGGGAAGTGGCATAAACCTTATCACATGAGTAATTTAGAGATAGAAAGCATACTGCAGGGAATTATCCTGCATTGACAGAGGAGGATAAAGATGCTGACCTACTAGTTTTCTTCCATCTCTTATGTAGATTTGAAAAGTGTATTCTTACAAGTCTCTGATAATCAGGACAATTGCTCAAGTGGCACCTTTCTGGCTCCACCAGAGTCTGTGCCAATTAAGAGAATTGTACTGCATAAATTATACCTTTTGATATTACTATAATTTGTGTGACTAAACACTTGACAGAAATGTGATTTTCTTAGCCTTTTCTTAATAAAATGTCTTGCACTTTGAAGATTTCTCTCTCCCCTCCACCCCTCTTCAGAGCATCACTGTCTCCGGCTAGGAGGTACTGGCTGCCACCACTTTGAACAAAAACCTCTGTCAGAGCATGAGAGAGCCAGATATTTGTTGTATAATGGTTCCGGTTACAAAACAAAACCTTGCAAACCAAGATAGCTTGTGAAGTATGCTACATCTAGAAGACAGGACATTTGGAAAATGAAGATGATAATTCCATGAAGATTATTATTATTATTATAATTATTATTATTATTACTACTACTACTTAGCATTAGCGTTAGCATTAGTGTTAGTATTAGTATCATATCCTGAGCCTGAACTTAAGCTGCTCTGATGTTTTTGTACTTAGGTTTCTGTCATTGCTTGCATGGATGTACACACAGCGCTGGTTAAAGTAAAGGCTCCTGATAAAGCAGCTTGTATCTCTCCTTTCATTATAGTGTTGAAATAACTTGATAATAGAGGAAGAATTAGGTTAACATGTTATCTTTGGTGAGTCATCAGCCTATTAGATAAACATGCTTTGTGTTGCAGCGGGCAGCATCCTCCCCCTTCTTTCACCCAGAATCAATAGTCCCTTCCCACCAAATGATTTCAGATGAGCAAACAGCCAGCCAGCCCCAGCTCACCACACCGCTTCTGGGAAGGGCACTGCTACCGCTCCTGCAGCGCACGTGCCTAAATACGCTTCCCTCCTGAGCAAAACAGAGCTGCAGAAAGCATCTCGACATTTATTTTATTCTCCCTTTTTACATTTTTATGAAATCTGCAAGGTCCAGCTGCAGTTACACATCTCTGCCATCTCTTTATTATCTCCACCAATGCACCTCAGTCTGATATTGAACTCTGGTCCCTTCCTCAATTCTGTACAATAACCTTTTGGGGTCTCTCATCTACAGCCTTCTACTTTTTTGAGTTACTCTACATAATACAGAAGTGACAATACTTGGCAAGTCCAAGGGTCTCTTAAAGTGCTTTCCAAGCACCTTCAAATCTGTCACGAATAGTTTTATCTCCATTTTACAGACGTAAATATGGGGGCAGAAAGGCTAAGTGACTGCCCTGGGTTCACGCACAAATATTGTGTCATAGCTGCCATGTATCCTGAGTCCATCGTGTTCTTTCTTAATTGCAAAGAATCCCTTCCTCTCTCTTTATTCATTTTTCCTCATTACTCATAATTCTTTTTGTTGGTTACATTATTTATATTCATGTGCCCAAATGAGACAGTTTAATGTTTTGTCATTTAAAGTTTTAGATGCTTCAAGCACAACTGAGGGAAGACTGGGTGAATCCCCAAATGTACGTACAACTGTTGCAAAACCCTTGGAGATAGTTAAACTTACTATATTCCACTTCCTTTAATTTTTAAGGCCTCCAGACATCTTTCTACAATGCTTCTCTCTACAATGAGAGCACTATAAGTCTCCACAGCCCAATTTCTTTTTCATGGACCCAGCCGGGATCCAGAAAACAGACAAAAGTCTCCTAGTGAGCTCAGCCTGGAAGACATTCTCCTTGTGATTCTCACATACAGAGCAGGACATGGCTTCAACAGAAGAATACCTTTTCCAACGCCTCTGTGTAAATCAATGCCCAAGCCCAGTGCCACCTTCTGCTTCATATTTGGGTTAAGCTCTGCTTGACTCGTGCTTTGAATCGCTCTTGTTAATTCCCCAATTTAAAGTGTGTCACTCAATTCCAACTTCTCTGCACAATTACTTCAGGAACCTCCATGACCAAATGCTGTTTGAATGTTTTTACTGGAGTGCTTATGACCATGGCATAGCGTGAAACATCAGACTCATTGAACGTGAGGTTTCCTGAAGGCAAACTCCTCGGCAGGTTTGAGTGTGAATGACTGGATCAGACATGGTCACTAGGAAAAGCACTGGCTCGTCATTAAAATAGACAGGGGAGGTTGTTGTCATTTGAACAATGCTTCGCTATCACTAGCATCACAAGTACCTGAAACTGATAATCAATGTCACCCTTTTGAGAGAAACAGTTCCACAATGCTGTGTTGTGGGGAAGCAGTTTCCCATCTTTAGATCTCTCTCATATATGTATATACACAGACAGACATATCCATACACATTTTGTAAGTGCTATACACATACAGATGTTCTAGGCACATATACTCTGTGTGTCCATAAAAACATCCATGAAGAAGATTTGGGACTGAAGCCACTGTTGGTACAAGTCCGTGGAAGTAATGGTGGCTTAAAACGAGCTGAAATTTGGTAGTAGGTTGTGAACATGTCATTAACACTTCCAATGACACATGCAGGGAAGTTTGCACGCACATCACCTTGAAATACTTGCTGAGAAAATGTAGCCTAGCAGTAAGTGTTAAAAGGAGTGCAACAGAAGGTTTCCCACGCAAAGTCAAAAGCTCATAGGTCATTCATTCTTGCTCGGTCTTGATGAAGGGGACATTATCTTGGAGTGCTGCAGTGTGCCTGGGTTCTTAGTACTTGTGGGAGGGAAGGAGTGGGAAGCCATACTCTGCTCTTGATATTGTGACTCTTACAAACCAAGGCACAATGACTGTTTATCATGAAAAGATATTTAATGATTTCTTATTTATAAATGACAGGGTAGCCCTCTTACTAAAAGAGCTCATGAGAAGAGATTAAGTTGGCTTTTCATGCATGCCATTTTTAGTGGCTTGCTTTAATACTAATGTAATAATAAGAAAGGAAACCAACATCTGGCATTTTTGGGACCTAATACGTACTTTTCTTAAGTTGTTCTCGAGTCATATTTACTATGAGGTTGTTTGTGTGAAATACGAATGTCCTTGCCAGAAGCAAGACCTGTTTTACACAAGACCCCGTGCAACCACTCAACATTGCTACATGGACATCCATTAGCCCCCTTCCTTCCCAACTCCCAACAATGACAACCAGAGATCACAGAACGAAAAGATTGGGTGAGCAGCCAAGTAACAGTGACAAAAAGGACATCATGCAGAGTATCAGAGTGAGCAAGAGATACTGAGGAGGACATCCGTTCCTGGGGGTACATTATGACGGGTCATGGACTGGCAATGACCAAATAGATTCCTTGCATTGCAAAAGGAAATGCAAGGAGCAACAGCAGCTAAAAAAAAAAGAAAAAAGGAAGGGGGAAAATGCATCTGGACCATTTCTTCCATTGCAGGCAAAGGTGAAGTCATCATAGCAGAAACAATAAAAAAAAAAATCCTTCTTCTTCAGGAAAATCTTGACCAAGGCTAAGAACAAGGAAGAATGTTCTAACAACTACCGGGCATCTACTCAGCTGGAGATGCCAGGGTTTGTTTAAGATGTCATAGGATAGATGTGCATGCTCTGGTATTACAGGTGACTGACTGCATCATTCTCTTATACTTGCCAATTAAAAGCCAAGGTTTGCCTTCATTTTTTAAGCATATTGCTCTCAAGTCAATTTAATAATTCCTACAGACATTTTAAAAGCACTGTCTCCATGGCAAACATCTTTCTTATCACTAGATTTCTGAGCGAGGTTTTGTACGTTAGGGTGATATACCTGTTGTCAGACTCCCTAAATGAAAAAGGAGCCTCTCCTACCACCTAGATAACCCAAATCCCTGGTGACATTTCTTTTACCTTCCATACACCCTGCAGGAAAAGGAGTCTTTGTGCAGGGACGCAAGGGACTTCACTTTGCAGAGCAAACTATGTGGAAATTAAAAGACTCCAGAACTGCATAGGTACCATGAATGGAACTAGATCAACTTGACCCCCTTATTTTGCATATATATTAAAAATAATCACATAATCTTTACAATTGGTAGGTTTTGGGGCATGATTATTGGGGAAGGCTGTCCACCACAGCAATAAATACTCACTGTTTACGGTACCTGCTAGTGCATTAATATTATTCAGTCCAACAGTGGCTCCAGCCAATCCTTGGAGAGTACCCAGAGAAGTCAAAGAATTCATGGCCGCACCAGCTGTAGAATTAGCAGTTGATGCAGCCACTGAAAGGAAAAAAAAGCAAGGCAAAATTAAGACCATATTTTGCTTATTTTAATTGATCACAAACCAGCTTACAATAATGCTGAGCTGAACAACAGGGCTACTTGCAAGAAAAAGAAAAAAAGAAAATGAGACCAATAGACCAACTTTGTTCAAGATATTACTCGTATGTTTGTTCATGGAAAGTGTTGATAAGCCTTGAACTGCAAAGACTGGATCACAAAATTTAGCGTTGTGCTATTACTTGCAAACATAATACGGAAAGAGTAAGTATGGGATCAGTCACTTTTCTCAAAAGTTTGTCAATCAACCTAGCACCCCAGGCTGATCAGCTAACCAGGCTATTGAGATTTTGCCACATTTTAAACTCTATAATAGAAAAAAAAAAGTAGAATTACTCATTGTAACTTTGTCATACAACAGCTTTACGTTCTGGGCCCGAAGTGTTTTAAGAGAACTTTTAATTATTCTAAGTGAGACACTATGCCATTATGGCTCTGCTCTAGGGCACTGTATGAACATCATTTAAAGCCTTGACAAAAAGAACAATGACCAGCCAAATACAAAATGTAACTACTATGCATTTTATTGCAGGCTTTTAGCCTGGCCTTTGTACATAACTAATCACGTATATGCACCCCATGAATGATACTATATGCATCCCCAAAAGCTTTGCCAGAGGAGAAGCTGAGGCTCAGGTGGAGAAATGGCCTTTGTTGCTACAATGCCAAAGGAATGGTGAAGGTGGATGAGATGAATCCACCTAAACTACATGCTTAGGAAGAGGAAGAGACTCACTCTCTTGTCATGGGAAAATAATAAAGCATCTCAGAAAGAGCTACCATTTAGGGTAGGTTGGATGAATTAGAAAGGAAGGGCCTTGAATAACCAGTGTAGATTAAACACTTACACGTAGGTAAAGTTCTACCATACCAGATGAATCACACTCATAAAAGCTGCGGAAGCAATTAGGTTTTTAGCTTGTCTCCTGAGCCCTACTTTAGTGCATCAATCATAAAGACTTTATTTTCCTTAAAAAATTTGCATTACCTTCTGAAAAGTGAATGTTTAAAGTGAAGTCTCTACAGTTGGCAGGATCCAGGAAAGAAAGTAGGAGGCAACTTTTTCACTCCGTGGGTAAACCTCAAAACTCTAACCTACAAATAACCCACCTTTACAGCCTTAAGACCCACCAAAACCAAGCCTTCACACTCACGGGGCCTCAAGGTATGAAAGATTCTCCTGGTGTGGGTGAGGAGAGATTTCCAGACTCCTTGAGGCAATGTTAACTGGAATAATTTTATATGTTGCAGATAGAAGCAGATTTGATTATTCAATCTCTCTCCGCAAAGTAATAAGAAGCAAATAATGTCTTTGATTAAAAAAAAAAAGTAATCAAAAAAAATGCAAGCAAAACCCCACTTTTTTCAGATAATGTGGTCACCAACAGAGAAGAGAGAAAAAAATCAAACGAATGAATGCCGGTGAATTCCCTGTGACCAACACTGCTGCATGTTTCTGCTCGTGTTCATTAGCAGACCATTTAAATGAGGTATATAAACCTCAAATCTGAGGGATCTGATTGGTTTTGACTGGGCTGAATTCCATTCATTTCTGTTTCAGAGGATTATTACCCCTTTCTCTTGAGGAAACACATATATTTAAGAAATGAGAGAAAAGGGGGCTAGGAAACTGCCTGAAAATTACATTCAAGCTCTTGGGGGCAAATAACTCCTGTGAACGAGAGCCATACGCTTATGGATTGTCAACACATCTGTTGGAGAAGGCAGAAAAACCTGATTAAATCCTTCCCCCTTGTGCAGCCTACAGAGCGTGTTGTCGTGGCTCTTATCATGGTCTCACTGCTCAAACACATGCTTCAGGGATGGCCAGTATCTGGGGCCAACATTTCGTTTCTACTTTTATTTATATCAAATTTCTCTACTCCATCAGACAAACACAGAGCAGGTGCCTTAGTGATTCTTCCATTTGAAGTTACAATGCAGATTATCTAGTTTGCCTAAATAATGACTTGGCATATAATCAATGTAAAATACTAGTTGGAGCACTGAAGCACCTCAGAAATCAGTGTTTGGTTGTTGTTGCGGCTATTTCTTCTGCTTAGCACTGATTTGTCTCACAGATCTACTGGGACAATGCTTTTTCCTCTTTGGCTTATTATTTCTTTGAGGAGAAAGAAACTGAACAGATTGTGTGGTTTCCATTATCTTACTGATCATGGGGTGAACAGGAACGAAGGGAGCTCCTTTTGTTAGGGCACTTGTAAAGGATGTATTCAGCAGCTTGCTGGGTGAGGTTTTCTGAGAGACTCCACACTAGTTATCATCTCTGTCTCTTTGACTGACACCTTCATGTATGAAATGAAGATGAAGACAGTGATGATACTGTCATAAAGGGACCATAAAAGGTCCAAGAGATTAAGAGAGGTGAAAATTTCTCACAAAATGCTGGATAAAACCAACAGATGAAGCAATGGTATTCCTTGTCCTCAAAGAACCTGAAGGGAGATGAAACAAAAGTTAAAGGGTCCTACAAGAGACGTGTGGAGGCTTAGGCCACCTGAAAGCTTTTACCTCATCTGCTTCCATTCTGTTGCAATCCACCTAAAGACAAGGACCGTGCTTCTCCTTTTCCCTTTTCTAGTTCATTTCAACTAAAAAATTGTAGCATATATTGAACCAAAGGGAAAAAAGAAAAATCACATGCCTTGTGGTAATGGTAGATGACTGCACTACTTTGGGGGAACCTGTATAACTCTCTCGTGTCAGTAAAGCTCTTGGGCTCCACAACTGCTCAGAGTAATGGCAAAGGAAGTATAATTCACTGTTGGAATAGCGTTATGCTATATTTATGGCTTTTAGTTGTCCAGATGACAAAAACAGATTGGATACCTACCGAATTTATAAATTGGTTTTTACCAGGTTCCCCTGCCACCAAATAAATTAAAAGAAAACATTTCACAGCTCCCTCCATCCTCCAGACCAGAACATTGCTGCTCTGAATCGAATCACTTCATCGGGCTGCTTAATAAACAGTAGGCATCTGTCTCCAGGTACTTAGACAGCTTGATGTACGGAGCCGCAGTGCCCCTAGGAATTGCCCTTTTTGTGCTGCTGGTGCACCAGCATTTGGTGCAACAGTCAGGAAAATCAAGACACTCAAAAAAATGTGCAAATGACTTGGTTTTCTGGTGTCACTCTGTATGGCACATGCTTTATCCACAACATTTGGTGTATTATTGTTCTCTTTTGTCCTGGTTTTGGCTGGGATAGAGTTAATTTTCTTCCTAGTAGCTAGTATGGGGCTACTGGCTGGGGTTAAACCACAACTTTGTTATAGCGGGAATTTTATCCTTGCCTCCTTAAAACCTGTATATGTCAGGGACTCAATATGTCTCTGGGGCAGCATTGAGTTGGCTAATACCGAAACTATGGGGAGAGATTCAGCAGTCTAGAGCTCCAGCCTGATGAATGCTGGCTGAATATACAATAGCTGGTGAAGAACAGAACTGCTTTTTACCAGCCGCACTGATCATTCCCTCACAATGTTATGCCCTGGATAAAGATCAGAACATGATAGATAAGATTTTGTCTACTCAAAGGAACTTTTTCCTCTCTAAGATCAGTCATTGGAATAAGCCGACAACTTTCTCAGAGAGGCTGTTGCTCAATTGGAGCCTATTGGCAGGAGTTACGGGGTTGAATCCTTTGGCTGTTGTTGCAAGAGTTCAGACAAGATGTTCATCATATTCCCCACTGACCTTAAAAATCTATTAATACCTGAAAATAATATCACAGCAATGGATAAAGAGGTCAGTTTAGACTTGTAAGTGTAAAGAGTTGTCCTGTAACCTGTAGAAAAATCTGCTGTTTCCTGCAGATACGCTGCACGCCGGTGACCTGTTGCCTTCTCCATCCAGGCCACGTACAGAGACTTTACATAACACTTTAGCATCTTCAACCATAAAAGGTGAGAAGGTTAAAAATGTTTATTTTACTGTTAGAGACCTTATTGTTTCTTCTTCATTGACCCCTCTATTCCCACCTTCCTGTGTCAATCTCACAGCCTTCCTCTTTTCTTCCAAACTCAACTCCACTTTAATAAACACCCAGAAACCTTCAAATAATACAAATAATATTACTAAGAAGCTGTAAAATGGAGAAGGGCATGGCTGCAACCTTCTCCCAACACACCACCAAATCACTCCCAACCCCGGCCATTTGATCTTACTGTGCTTCCTCCACTTAATTGATAAAAATTTTGCTATCAGCTTCATTATGAATAAAGAGACTTGGCCTTTGGTTAATATATTCTTTAACAGAGCTCTCTTTGATACAGAGAACACATTTTCATTTGGAGTGGATGCTCTACACAGTACAGATATTTGTGTTTAACCAGCAATGTTGCATTCATAGAGACTTTTAAGGCTGGAAGGAGCTGGCATTTTCAATTCTTCCCCTCAACACATTTATTTCTGCCTGTAAAAGGTTATAGCACCTTTTAGGTCAGATTTTTTTTTTTTAACAGAAATTTAATCTAGCAATGAGCCATTTCCCTTTTAACTTAACATTCCAACACAATTCCCCAAAACTATGCCAAAACAACCAGTATTAGCATAGAAATGTTTGGCCATTCTTTTGGCTAGCTTATGTTCATAGAGTCATGATGATTTACATCATCTGGATTTACATCAGCTGGAAAATTAGACTCAGGATAACAGCATCTAGGAAAGGCAATGATGTGTAAGTATTTCTTTGGCTTTGCTGTGCACACTGTGAATGGGATTAATTTCCCCACCTTTGGCAGCCTCATCATTAGTTTAAGCTAGCCTAGTCAAACCCATTCTTTTGGGGTGTCTCTGAGGTTGAGAGACCTCCAACCCAAATACCCTACCTTTACATTTCTACCTCAGGATGGGCTGAGTTGCCCTCTGGAAGTGCCCCCATTTCTGCTGATTGTGATGATGGACTCAAAGCAGACA